CTGACGATTTCGATGGGACGCAAACTTGCGGCCATTTTCATAATGTGCAAAAAAAAATCGCCATTTTGAAATACTCAAGCGCGTCAGATTAAGATATATATGATTCATCTTTATGTTCTAAACGTACTGTCTCATAATCTGACGATTTTCTAGAGGGATTCGCCTGATCTGACAAAAAAAATATTAGAAAAACGGTTCACCTTAAAGGCCATACCTGCAACTTCCCGCTAATTCCATTCCTGTGCGCTTAAAATTGTACTTATGACATTTTTGAGCTCAAAATATAATTTATGTGATATTTTGAGCTCGCTGAGTTCAAAGAAATAATATTTCTATGCATTTGAGCTCTCCCAGCTCGAAAGTCTGATAGAAGTTTCATAGAACACTATTTTTGGAATTTCAAACCGCAATAACTTTTGAATAGATCAAGCAATTTTCACACGGTTGACGCCATTCGATGCAGTTTTATTATCCTCATAAGTTATTTTCAGGTTTTAATTGATCGAACCAAAAATTTCGGAGTAATCCCGAAAAAACACTTTTTTCGGTTTTCTTTCGTTCACGATATCTCTCGAACGAATCAACCGATTTTGACCGGATTAGCGACGATCGGCGTGGTTTTTCTAGCTTAAGAGCGGATTAGTTTTTAAAGTTAATTGAAAAAGCCGGTTAAAAGTTATTCCAAAAAAACACTTTCAAAAAAAAAATCTTATTTTTTTTGAGATTTTTCAAAATTTCTCAAAATCTATCGGTCCGAATCGGTTCAAATTCACAGGAAATCTAATTTTGAGGGAAATCTTTAGAACGCCGTTTAAAAAGATATAAGCGAGTCACACATACACACACCCATACATACATACAGACTTAGTGACAACATCATACTTCACACAAATAATATTAAAATAGCAAAAAAAGCCAAAACGTTGGAAACACGTTGTAAACAGTATGCCACGAACGAGTCTTTATGATCAGCTGTGATGGCGTCATGGCGGCAGAAACCAGAGTGGGGACGGAGTGAGAGAGTAATAGATAGAGAAAGAGTGAGAGAGGAATAGACACACGGAGAAGGAAATGTAGGCATCACGCAGATGCACGCATTTAACTTTATCGACGAATTTTTGTTATTTCGGCTTGCGGAAATCGTCAGATTATATATTTTTCATTATTCTTGAATTATTTCCTTCAAAATAAAAAAAATTAGCTACGCTCGAGAATGTCAAGATGACGTTTTTTTTTACAACTTTGTTGCCCTCCCCTTTTTTTACGTCACTCTCAAATTGTCAGATTAGTGGAATATACACTTTTTAGGATGTAATTAACTCACCCTACCTTAATCTGACGCGCTTGAGAATTTCTGATGGTCAATTTTTTTTTACTAATCTGATCCTGTATCCTTCACGGGCGGCCTTATATATGGGCCTCATGTTTTGTGGAGGTACTTAACCGGGTACAAGGTATCCCCCTGTATATTAATCTGCCGCGCTCGAGTAACTACAGTAAATCCCCTCTTCGGCTCCCCTACTATAAGATATGATTTCTTGATGTGTGTTATGACCGATTTATATCTATACATATAATAAAACTAGTAGAGGTAAAATCTTTGTAATCATATCATAGAAAAGAAATGCTAAAAACTGAGTCAGGGGATGTAAGAAGAGAAATGGAACAAATCTAGATTTTTTTCAATTTTTTTGTTTCTTTGTCTGTTTATACGGGCTAATCTCCGAAACTCTTGGACCGATTTAAATGAAATTTTGCATGGTGATACCTTATATCCCCGGTCAATATTTTAGATACTTTTCATCCCAGAAAATTAAATAGTTCCCGTGGGATACTTAAAAAATTATAGTAACTTGTATAAGTTGTATAGCTTAGTACACAAAAACTACTGATTGGATTTTAATGAAACTTTACAATAATATAGTTTATTTGAAGAATAACAAATAGGCTACTTTTATTCCAGAAAATGTACGGTTCCCGTGGGATAGATTTGTTTCTTTTTGTCTTTTGTATAGTTTACTAGCATTGCCCGCGGCTCCGCCCGCTTCTGATGACCGAAAAAAATTCTTAGGTTTTACATATTAGTAGGTATACTCTTAAATAGCAGTTTTATGATTTTTTCTCAGAAATTAGACATTTTCCCGCGGTAAAAAGTGTCCTATATGTTGACCCGGATAACCAGCCATCATCATAGCAAATTTCATCAAAATCCCTCTAGTGGTTTTTCTGTGATGCGGTAACAGACAGACAGACAAAAATTCTAAAAACTATAGATTCGGCCTCTGTATCGATAATAATGTTTATTTCAATAAGATTTTTCAAAAAATATTTAATGTACAGATTCGGCTTATTTACAATTTTATTATAATATGTATAGACAATAAAATTAGCGGCTCACCATTGGTTCGCTCGGGTTCGTCCGTAGGTACGTTTTAACGGTTAGTATGGACTAGATAGACTAAGTATATATTATATACTATAACGTGACTATATTATAACGTGTTTTCCCTTGGGTATGAGAAAATCCTGCGGTAAAAAGTAGCCTAAGATGTCACTCTCTACATAAAAAAAATACTACAATCCGTCAATCTGTTTCGATGTGAAATAAGGACAAACAAACAAACACACTCTCATTTATAATATTAAATAAAGTATAGATGTCATTTTACCCCTTAAAGGATAATGACGAAGTTTTGGAAACCTATAGTTACTTTAATTGATAAAAAAAGGCTTAATTTGTCTATTAAAGCAATTATTCTATAAATATACGAATTCTTCGTTTCGGAGTAAAACTTGTTATGGTAATAAAAAATATGTAAAAATAATAAAACAACAAAATATTGATGGTTTTTAACCGATTTCCAAAAAGGAGGAGGTTCTCAATTCGTCGGAATCTTTTTTTATGTATGTTCACGGATTACTTGAAAACGCCTGAACCGATTTGGATTTTTTTTTGTTCAAAGGGTAAGTATATATATTATAAGATATGAATATCTAATAGATAAATATGTATTTTACGTATAAAAATATATTAGATTTCCTTTGCATCGGCTGGCACTGACTTCCAATATATCTGATTAAGTACCTATCTATTCTAAACGAAAACCCCGTTTAGTTAATTTTTACATTTTAGTGCCAGGAAGTCGGTTTTTATTTATTTTTTTGTTTTTATAACGTTAGCATTCACTATCATTATTCCTATCTATAAAAATATAAAAAGAAATATTAAGTGCAGAAATATTTTGTCGTTTTCATGATAAATAAACACCGTGGCTATATTTAAAACTGCGTTGAACAATTCCAGTATTTAATGCACTCGAGTAATTCGTCACTAAGTACTATACTGTGCTTTGACCCTATCAACACGGTGTTGTTCAAACTATAATACTTTTTTCAGTAAAGGCCATGCAGGGACCTGCCCTTTTTACTCGACTGCGAAGCCCAAAGGAGGGTTATATGTTTGACCTATACATATGTATTTGTCTATAAATCCGATTCTATGTTCCCTTGTAATTACTTAACGGCTTAAACGATTTTTATGGTTCATATGTGAAGTATTAGATTAGGCCTTGATAACGCGAATTTCATATATATACTTATTATTAAAAATTAAAATGGCGGATTTCAGGGGTCAATTTGTGTCTATAAAAAAAATTCTTCCAAATCTATCGAGTAGGATATCAAAATAAAGTTTTTTAGAGGCGATCATAAAAATATACACGACTTTGTTTAAAATTGAATTGGGGTATGGAATTGTGAAAAAACTCTCCCAAATTTCTGAAAACTGGGCAAAACTAAAAAAAAAAAATTATAACCCGACTGCGTAAAAAACGAACGAAACGACTTTATAAACAATCTCCACATCATATAAACAATGCAAAAGAAGCCAGTGAGATATTAAATCAATAAACACCCTATTTACATTACTGAAAAGCATTTCGTGTTTTAAGTCTAAATTTTAGACTCTCAAATAGCGTTGTAATGGTCAAGATGACATATTTTCTGTGGATAAATTGATTTGATGAAGAACACCGAGCACTGTTAATAAGTCATATTATGGTACACTGTGTTACGGTAGTCTATTTAATAATTTTAAAAATACCAATGAAAGTTGATATTCATAGGTTATTTAGGAACTAAGCGATCATTTTAAAAAAAAAACTAACTAAGTAACAGTAGCATAATAAAATCTAGAAATGGCTACGGAAAAAAATGTTTTGTGACGTAGGTACTGATTGATGCCTTCTAATTTAATTTTAATACTTTTATTAATTAGCTATATTATTATGTAATGTGTGTTTTTGTAATGACCTTATAATTTATATGGAAATATACTTATCAGGATTTGCATTTATGAGATACCAAAACATAAACATAAGTTTATATCTATATGTATACTAGCATCGCACCCTCGCTCCGCTTGGGTTCGTCGTTACTTATGTTTTAACGTTTTGTATAGACTTCTTAGAGACGATATATTTCCCCGCAGTAAAAAGTATCCTTTATGTTGACTCAGATAAATAGCTATCATAATACCAAATTTCAACAAAATCTGTCCAGTGGTTTTTTCGTGGTGCATTCCCAGACAGACAGACAGACAAAAATTCTAAGAACTGTAAATTCGGTCTATGTATATATAGAGATAATAATGACTATTTCAATAAGCCTTTCCAAAAAAATATTTAATATACATTGTACAGATTCGACTCAGAATTTTATTATATGAATAGATTTTACAATAAAATTCTCGACAAAAAACTAATAATTAAGATGTAGAAATAAACGAGATGAATGAACATATTTATCTTTTCGCTCGCCTTTGCCCCACATTTATCAATAAATTATAGTAGAGCCAAGCAGGAAAATGTGTTATGATTTTCCCAGAAAAATGTCGTCATATTGATTGGGTTTAATAATACGCATAATAACAAGTAATATAAGAACAAGTAATACGCAAACTAATAAGTAGTTTTGTATCGGAGAGCAGACGTGTTATTATAATGGCCAACAAGATATTGTTGTGTCTTCTGTTATTTTACCTACTTTTAAACTATTCGGATTGTAAAAGATTCGGTTCCTCTAGACGTTCGAGTGGTTCCAGATCAAGATCAAGGTATAGTCGAGGATGGGGTTCGAGCTCAGCTAGCAAACCATCAACGAGCTACAAACCTAGCCACTCCTCCTCGTCTTCTTCCGGCTCATCACATAAGTATCCGTCATCTTTTTCTAGCTTACTCAATTCAGTGTTTAATACAAATTCGCCTTGGAAGAGTACTTATCACGGATTTGAAAGTTTGAGTTCATATCCAGGGTCAACGGGATTATCTGGATCAGGATCAGGCAGTAGTAAATATCCAGCTTCAACTGGCTTATCCGGTTTAGGAAGCGGTAGCTATCCATGGTCAACAGGGTTATCTGGGTCAGGATCAGGCAGTAGCAGCAAGTACCCTGCATCAACAGGATTATCTGGGTCAGGATCAGGCAGTAGCAGCAAATACCCTGCATCAACAGGATTATCTGGCTCAGGATCAGGCAGTAGCAGCAAGTACCCTGCATCAACAGGATTATCTGGGTCAGGATCAGGCAGTAGCAGCAAGTACCCTGCATCATCGGGGTTATCTGGCTCAGGATCAGGCAGTAGCAGCAAGTACCCTGCATCAACGGGATTATCTGACTCAGGATCAGGCGGTAGCAGCAAATATCCAGCATCAACGGGATTGTCTGGCGCGGGATCGAGCAGTAGCGGCAAATATCCAGCATCAACAGGGTTATATGGCTCCGGGTCAGGCAGTAGCAACAAGTACCCAGCATCAACCTGGTTGTCTGGCTCAGGGTCAGGTAGTAGTAGCAAGTATCCAGGATCAACGGGATTATCTGGTTCTAGTGGTAAGCACAATTATCCGACGACTTCTACAGGATTATCAGGATCGGGAATAAATAAACAGAATTATCACCCTTCAAATACAAATACAAATTCTTCTCATCCGTACCACCACAGCAATACTTATAATACGAACAGTGCGTTTGGATCTGGATATAGTGGAAGTAGCCCATATGGTTATGGCCACAGTACGTTTTATTCAGCTCCTCAACATGTATACATAACTGAATATCGAAATTCTGATAGTCGATTTGGAGATTTGTTAACTGGTCTTACATTATATAACATGGGTCGTTCTCATGGACATTATCACGATCACTACTATTATGATGATTACTATAGGCGTAGATATAATACGGGAGAAAGTTATCAGACGCCATACGAAAAACCAAAAGACGAAGCATACTGTGCGCTAAGAGTTAAAGAAAATAATAAAATAGAAGTACTTAAAATACCTTGCGAAATTGTTTCAACATTTACAGAAGGAAGCAAAAAATCTTCTCCTAATACAGAAACTCAGACCGTTTGTGTCTCAAATTATACGGTTATAAATAACACACAATCTGTATCTACAACCACCCCGCCAAGTAGCACCACGTTATCTAATAATCGCTCTAATATTCTGCCGAGCAATGAGAGCGTAATAAATTCAACAGTGTTACCAATTAATGCTTCCATAACAACAGTGTCAGAATCTACTAATGTCTCTACTGCAGATAATTCTTCAATCTTATCCAACAATAATTTGTCAACATCATCTAGTCTTCCAGAAACAACTACACAAAATGTTACTACTTCCACCACGGTGAGACCTATATCTTACTCCAATAGTACGTCTCCTCCAGTCAATAATTCATCAGCAACGACATCAAACATCACCGTAATGAATTCAACTAAATGTACCACCACTACAGACCCATTGAGTGTCAAAGGGCCCCCGATAAATACCTCAAATATGGAATGTGAAGTTGAAATAGTTACAAAACAATCTCGATTTAGCACAAAAGTCGATTGTGAAACGCTATTAAAATACTCAAAAATGCCAGAACCACCAAAAACGGGTAGTCCCATCCTACCTTCAAGAACTAAATTAAAATCATGGCTTTCTAACCCGCCATGGTGGATGTCAATGATCATCGCCGTGTAAAGTTTAGTGTTCTGTGTTGATTGCAATTATACTAATACTAGTACCTATTTATTATTATTATTATTTTAAAATTTTATACTAAAATCTTTTTTAATATACATTTCATTTAAAAAAAATTATAGAGTATAAAAATTTACTAATAAACATTTGTTATAATTCTTAAATTTAATTTAATAGTTTAATGATACAATAAATAAAATATGTTGTGTTCATCTTCATATTTGTCACTAAAATTTAATTTCCGTCTATCATATTCAAATGATAAGGTCATCGGCATATAAACATAGAATTAAAATTATTATTACATTGTGTTACGTGCCATCCTAAACATGTTTCACTTTTTTTTTTAACATTCATTATCTAAGTTCAAGCCTTTAACTGTAAAAAATAATAAGGCGTAAAATATTTTGAGATAATATTTAAATAAACATAGTTAATTCAATATAAACTTGTTTTAATTTCCTCATAATGACTTCATTAAGTTTACTATTGTCAATAAAAACTTTTTAACAAAAAAATGAAAACCGACTTCAAACAAAAGCACTAAAAAGTAAAAAATAACTGATTGGTAGTTTTCATTTACTATACAAACCTAATTAAATATTTTCGAAGTCGGTGTGCTTTGCTTTGTATCGGCTGGTTATGCTTTTGTTTGAAAAAAAAACTAATAAAACTATAATATTTTTGGCAACTTGATTTTGTTTAATCTTTTAATTTAGTTTTCATATAATAAAAAAAAAGAACCCCAGATATTTTTTTTGCAAATGTTATATACTGCGCAGTAACGAATTAACCGCTAACGCTATACCAGACTCGCGGGACTCTACTCGCCAATTCACGAAATTATATTTTTTTACAATTTCAACTTACCAAAAGGACCTTCCCAAAATTCGTCAGGAGCTCTCGGGCTAGATATTTAGAAATTATATTGCATATTATGGAGGTATTAGGTAAGTTATGACGCCCAACCTAAAAAAAGTTTCAAACTAAATATGAGACAAGGTAAAACCCATTGACGGCTTAAGAGAATGGAAGTGACGCATCACGCAGTAGCTTTGGTGTTAGTTAAGGCTAGAGCATATACGATGTGAAGTGTGCTGTTAAATTAACAGCAATTAAAAATTAAGATCAATATATATAATAAAATAATTCATAAGTTAAACAATAATTTATAATATTTTTATTTATTTGAAGTAGTTTTTTTTAAGTTTTTATTTTCCATTTTTAGTGTAGATATAGTATATACCTAGTACCAAAGTAAGAAGAGGTCAAACAATAAAAAAATATATTTATACGTGTCGAATTGAGAACCTTCTCCTTTTTTTCGCGGATTTAAAATGATTTCATGTTAAAAAATGTTAGGTATGTGATGTTATCTGCTGCACTGCTGCGTGGAAGCGCCATTATATCGCGTAGGTACTGTGTGTAAACTACTGTAGTGACTAGTGCGTGTGCGAGTATTCGCAATAATTATAATGTCATCTCTTACTATGCTATTACAATTAATAATGTGCTAACTTCACTGTGCGTTAAAGTCGATAATTCATTGATTAAATCTGATTTTCGTTTTGAACTTTTAAAACATTAATAATATATTTTTAAATTTTAATATTCTTTCACTTTTGACACAATATTTTTGTACTTTGTTGCGTTCGTCTAGATTCACATTGCGCGCGAAAGCACCGTAGTTTTTTGAAGTTGGTTTAATTTTTTTTAAACCTTTTTTATTTCGTAATTTTTAGTTTTAAGTAAAAACTGAAATAGTTTTTGTAAAAAGTAGTAATTACAAAAAATATACTTTTTTATCCATATCTTCAAACCACTGAACCGATTTTGATGAAATTCTTACTATTCCCTAAGTTAAAATAAATGTAAGCAAATAAAAAGGCATCATCACGTCGGTCGGAATAGTAGTTTCGGCGAAATGCGTGGACAAACATACATACACACAAACAAACAAACAAACATACATACATACATACATACATACATACATACATCTATACACCTATAAAATTTTGTATATTTGCTTCGAAGCCCTAATATATCATATTATGTTAATATCTTGCAGTTCTAATAATATTATATGCATACGTGTCGAATTGATAACCCCCTTTTTTTTGAAGTCGGTCAATTAAAACTATATCTCCCGCTATGCTGTCCTCGGGAACCGATGACAGTGATAACCTGTTAAAATCGGAACGATCGGATCGGATGAACTATCGGAACTAGATAGTTCCGCGAACATGTTTCGTGAACATAGTTCCTTTATGGAAAGGAACTATTCCATGTTCAATCCACTCCAGGACCTAGTTTGCGCATCTCTGGTTTTGTTACGTTTAATATTGTTTATAAAAAGCGCCATCTGTTAAACAGTGAGTAAATTATTAGGGCACTCTAGTATTTGCACAGCAAAAAAATATATTAAAGCACTGTGAAAAAGTTATATTTTTATTATTTATAGAAATAAATATTGCATTTTAAAATGTTTTAAGAATATTTCGTACTTATCCCAATAAAATATATAATATAACTTAATAACATTTTTGACAGATTATAAAAATTATAATTGTTACTTATCTGTGGTGAACATGAGTTGCTTGTCTACTTGTCATTGTAATTTGTAAAGCCGCTAGCCCGCTGTTGAAAAATTCTACAATTGAGTTCATTGTTACAACATAAAATTAAGAATCTTATTTACACATAATATACATATTTTTAAAAACTACTATAGCAGTAACTTTATTTAACTAAAGTAACTATGAGTTCGATAGGAACAGGCGTAAGTATATCTTTTAAGTCCCTTTGAAATATGTATTGAACATGTATCATAATTTTTTCATTATTTGAGTTAAAGTTTAATTAAATGTGTTATAAAGCATATCTAATGTATTAAAATACAAAAAATATCTTTTATAAAGTAAATTGTTTTGTCTTGCACTCGGTAATTATTTTTGAAAAATGCTTATTCATTGCTGTTTTTAAATTTTAGTATGATCTTTCTGCATCTCAATTCTCACCTGATGGCCGAGTATTTCAAGTGGAATATGCAGCAAAAGCTGTTGAAAACTCTGGAACAGTCATCGGACTAAGAGGGAAGGATGGAGTTGTTTTTGCTGTTGAGAAACTTATAACTTCAAAACTTTACGAACCCGGTGCTAACAAGAGAATCTTCCACGTTGATGAACATGTTGGCATGGTAAAATTTGATCTACATTTATTTAGTAAGATCCTACAGTTTAAAAGATATCACTATAATCTGAATATCTGGAATTATCAAAGTCTCAAAAAATCTAAATCTTTGTAAGTAATTAGTTTAAATAATGTCAATTTACAATGAAATGAAACAAGTAGTTACTATAAACTTACAATAGAGTTCTTTTCTAGGGAAACTTATAATAAATCATTGTCTTATGCAATTTACTATTTAAAAGTTATAAATAGTTAATTGAAATAGTTAATTGAATAAAACATTGATTTTATTGAAATAATTGAGAAAGTAGGTAAATTTGATTATTAAAATTGTTATTTAATTCTTTCTTATCTTATACTTAATAGAGATTATGTGAATAAAAAGAAGTACACAGAATGTGTGCAAAAATATTATATGCTTAACTCTGAATAATGTATATATCATGTTACTTATATATCTTAAAGTTATTTACATTCATCACATCATAAAAGTATATATAAAACAATATATTACAGGCTGTAGCTGGATTAATCTCAGATGCAAGGCAAATAGTAGAGACAGCAAGATCAGAGGCTTCCAACTACAGATCACAATATGGTGTCCCAGTTCCCTTGAAGTATTTAAATGAGAGAGTATCTATGTACATGCATGCATATACACTATACAGTGCAGTCCGTCCATATGGATGTGCAGTTATAATGGGAACTTGGTCAGAGTATGATGGACCCCAAATGTACATGCTTGAACCTAGTGGAGTTTCTTTTGTAAGTATTGATTTATTAAAAGAAATTTCTTTTAAATAAGTAAATAGTAAATAATAATAACTAGCATCTTACACATATTTGCAGCTGCTTCATCTAAAATAACACCTGAGCAATATTGTTTCTCATAAAAACTTTGTTAGTTCTTATCATTTTTTAATCTCTTAGGTTGACAGGTTTAGAGTGGGCATTAAGGAATCAATGAGTAAGACCGCCTTAATGTAATTATAAATATTAATTTAAACCTAATGTTTGATACATTTCATGGAGTATTAATTTAAATGACTGAGGTTATATATTGTAAATAAATGTATACTCGTATTACTCAAAATAAATTCATTTTTATGATAAACTAGCGACTTGCCCTTACTTTGCTCGGGTGTGTCCCTAGCATGTTTCAATTTTTTTGAGCAGAACTGTAATTCTTTTTCTAAAATGAAAGTAGCCTAAGTTGCTCTTTATAATAACTTTTACTGGCAAATAGCTGATCTATTTGCCAGTGAAAGTCCTATCATTTCGAAGAATAGCCGGAACAAACAGGCAGAAAAAAAAATTAAAAATTGTGTTTTTATAAGTACCATATATAATTTCTTATGCATTTAGTAAAACGCTTTTATTCACACATTACAGAAACTTTAATTTTTTTTATCTGTATAGATAATAATAATAATAATGTCCTTCTGGCCACAAGTGCACTCTATTGCTGTCATACTCCAGTGGAACGACGACCCAATGCGACCAGTGAGTGTTAAGGCGCAGGACAGACTGCATTATGTGCTCTCTGAGCACGGGAGTGAAATGCTCAGCCCAACCCTGGACTCGAACTCAGGACCCCCAGTGCGTGCAGCCGTATATGCTAGCCACTGAATCACCGAGGCAATAAATCTGTATAGATTAATATAATTTTAAAATATATCTAATCTAATTGTTCCAGTCATACTTTGGATGTGCAGTTGGAAAGGCAAAGCAAGCTGCTAAGACAGAAATTGAAAAACTCAAGCTTGCTGACATGACTGTTAAGAACTTAATTAAAGAAGCTGCCAGAATGTAAGATATTTTGTCATTTTTAGGGTTATGTGACCAAAAAGCGAAAACTCATAATTTCGTCAAGCCTGTTTGTCCATATGTCACAACTATTTTACTTGGAAACTATAAGTGTTATATAGCTGAAATTTGGAATGTCGGTGGCTCAAGTAAATTGTACTGTAATTATGAAAAAAAATTAGGGATGTCAATAGATATAACTGAAATGTATAAAGATTTTGAATACCCCAAATGAGATGTTTGAAACTAAACAGACTCTGAACTGACGGACATTTGCAACTCTCTGAACTGATTGCAAATGATAAACATACTTTTAACAAATACTAGACATCAAGTTATTCTACAATTCATATTTTTTTAAAAATTAAGATTTTCTTGCTTGATATTTCATTACAAAGGATTATGTAAACAAGATAATTTAAACGAAAATTTGCTTTAACTCTCTGAGTGATGCAGTCCCCTATAATCAAGTTTCATGGTGTCTAATATTATGTTATTATAAGAGAAATATGGAAATAAAGACAAAGGTGTTTGTACCAATTTTCTCTGACATATATTACACATATAGATAAAGTAGATATAAATACTCATTGTCGCAAATATAGCGTCAGTAAATGATAGGTAAATCTGAGTACATATCTTTTTGGAGCGGTACCCTAATTCTTTTTCTCAAATAAAAGTAGCCTAAGTTACTTCTTATAACATCAGCAATCTACCAGCGAAAGTCCTGTCAAAATCGGTTCAGCCGTTTTGGAGATTAGCGAGAACAGACAGGCAAGAATTAAAAAAAATCTTATTAGTACCGTATATGTTGTCATATGTATTTAGTAAAAAGCTTTATTATTTACATTACAAACAGACACTTCAATTTTATTTATCTATTATTATATACTATAGATGAAACGCGAAAATTAAAAAAGTAAAAAAAAAAATAGTACTCTTACAATTAATCACTTTTCTATATATTTCAGTATCTATGTCGTCCACGATGAGCTCAAAGATAAGCAATTTGAATTGGAACTGTCGTGGGTGTCGAAGGACACGAATGGTCGACACCAGCTCGTGCCCAAGGAAGTAGCAGTGGAAGCAGAAACCTTCGCGAAACAAGCCCTCGCTGATATCGAAGATTCTGATGATGGGGAAATGTAAATTTAGACAATAAATTAAAGTTTTATAATGTACTCTTGGATTTTATTTACATTCTTATACAATAAATTTGACATTTTATTAAGACTTGATTGTACCACATTATACATTTACAATTAGAGGTGCTAGATGTCGCCTTTTTTCAATTCGCACGTGTAGCGCCATCTATTATCCATTAGTTTACAAAATTTTAATTTTCGCTTTTTGCTATGAACTTTATAGTTTGTTATTGTTTGCTTAGGGCATAATCTTTTCAAATTTATCATTAGAAAATTTTGTGGAGCTCAAATTACTTTATGATCTGATTTTCATTATTTAAGCGCGTTTGCCCGTTCATAACGTGCGTTTTTCACTCTGTTAAGATTAATATCTTAAGTTTTTGTTACATGAGTACTTCAAGGAGAAGTTGTTTAAGAAATCCAAATCATTTTGCTATATATGTGGATAATATGTGTTTCACAATTGTAGAAAAGTTAAATAAGAGTTCGTCAAAAACACCTACTTTCTGCATTTTGGGATGTTCTTGGATAAAAGCCCTGAGTCTTTGGCATCTAATTGTATTTGTAAATCGTGTGTTGTATATTTAAGATTGTGGAAAGGTAGCAAAAGAAGTGCTTTTGAATTTGAAACACCAACAATTTGTGGGAACCACAAAATCATCTCGATGAATGTAATTTTCTTAGTGTCAACATAAATGGCATTACCCAAGTACTACTTGTATTCAGCGTCCTGTGCAACATTCACATGAGTCTCTAGTACCCCAAAATATATCTTAACCAAACTATACATACATATATACATAAATAACCAAACTCTTTAGAAAATGATCATGATTTTGGAGATGTATCCAATGGACCAACATGTTTTTCACAAAACGAATCAGATGATTTTGTAAGAGATTTCAATCTTTCTTAACAAGCTTCAGAATTATTGGCATCAAGACTTATAGAAAAAATTTGCTTTCTCTAGGTACTAAAGTTACTTTTTATCGTGAAAGACAATATTGCTTTTTGTTCATATATTAAAAACTCGTTGATAAAAATGGACTTGTAGAAGATCTCCTTTTACAAAAAAATTTAGAATGCTATATGAGTACTTAAACTCCACTTTCTCTATAGTAACCTGGACAGGTTTCCTGAAAATCTAGGAGATATGAGAGACGAGCAGGGTGAGTGTATGCATCAAGATTTACGCGTTATGGAAGAACGCTATTAGGGTTTTGAGGATACAAAAATGTATTCTGACTATTAATACTCATAAGAGGAGAGACTTAAGACGAAGTTTTTAAGAACTAAATGCTTAATTTAATTTTTTAATATTTTTTTTCTTAGTTAATACAAGTATTTTTTTGGTATTGAATGCAGATAGCTGAAACTCAAAAACCAGAGCTGATCAAAAAATTCTAATTATATATTTGAACTCAGCATAGCATATGCATTCAGCAACAGCAAAAATTTTCCCGGCAACAGAAGCACTGTAAACTAGCGTTATCCATTTTAGGACAAAAAACAGCCCGCTGAGTAGCCCGGATTAGCGATGTCCAAATATTTGTATGGGACGCACTACGTATACTAGTATAGTATTATATGATCTGTCTTACGACTTAATATAAAAAATGTATATCAGTATTTAAAATATAGTAATAACAATTATATAATGATAATATTGATAGGTACTTGCCGAAAATATGAAACTCCATCCTTTTTTAGCGTCCTAGATGTGTGATTTTTGCAATTTTTAAACGAGCACCGAGGCATGTTTATCGTCGAAACGTTCGAATGCTACTAAATTAAAAGCGCGCTCAAATATTCAAATGAGCGCTCATTCGGTGGAGACAATTCTTGTCGCTTATTGTGTATCTAGTTTCTTTTTTTGATTGATGAAATTAGTCAATCAATACACGGAGAATTGAAAGATTAATCCTTATTCAACTAAATAGTTTCATAATCGAGGATGATTATGTACCTACAACTTAACAATCCTTTAAATTATTCGACCTTTTCAACCGACTTATAAAAAAGGAGGAGGTTGTCAATTCGGTTGTACCTATTTTTTTTATGTTTGTTAGCTCAGAACTCCGTCATTTACTTATTAATCGATTTGGAAAATTCGGTTTTGTTTGAAGTGTATTATGTATACCTACTTTCAGTTTGGTCCCATTTAAATCTGAAGAAAAAGTATCTCCCCTAAGGGTGGAAATATAGCTAAATAAAATTTTACCTATCTTATTGTCATATTTACTTGAAACTTTGCAAGTGTTTGTATTTACTAATAAAATCAAATTTTAGTTTTCATATAAAAATTGGCATTAAACTAACTTAAACGGCTTAAGCGAATATTATATTAAAATACTTTCTTCTCACTTTGCTACTAAATACCTACGTTTATACTAAAAATAGAAAAATAAAAACTTAAAAAAACCGACTTCAAAACACTAAAAAATGAAAAAAATAATAATCGAATGGCAGTTTTCTTTTACTATAGATACCTAATCAGATATATTTTTTAAATTACGCAAAACGTACCTAGCGACACACCCGAGCGAAACGAGCGTATATCTCTAGTTTATAAAATTTAACTACAAAGAAAGAATTAAAAACGGATAGACTTCTGTGTAATTATTTCCTGTAAAAGAAATTGCAAGATAACAAATTATACCTACAGGCTACAAAATGTAATTGTTGACTTTTGCTAATAATGCACAAGCTTTTCTTACAATATATTGCCTGTATATGTTTTAACTAGTATTGTTTGTTTATAGCATAAAACATTTGTGTGTATATTGTAGTGAATGATTTTTTTGGTAAATGTTCTCGTATCTTTGGAAAATACTAAGTATTAAGATTTATCTAAAATACTTAACTTATTTTTTAACCGACTTCTTCATAAAGTAGTTAGTAGGTACATTGACGATTTCATTCATCGGTGTATCGTATCTTGTCAGATTCTTCATCGAATCAAATCAGTTGAAGTTTGTACAACAATAGTCAGGTAATATTAATACATTGCCTTTTATATAAAATAAAAATAGCGAGTGTGAGTGTACCTTAGGACTTTTTTGTAGGCTTTTTCAAGACCTATACACATACGTACATTGTTTTGACGTATGTCTTAAGTTTTAGCGAGCGGAAGGTTTGTACGGACGACTCGATAAAACCAGTTATTGTGTTTTCCCGTAGGAAAGAAAGATTTTCCTGAAGTAAAAGGTGCCCTAAATGTTGACCCTACTTGGGTTATTACTTCAACAAATTTCGTTAAAATCGGTTCGTTACTTTTTGCGTGAAACGCGCACACACATACAAAGACGAATATTTTAATAACTATTGTTTTGGTGTCTGTATTGTGTACCTACATACTACGTTATAGTCATTGTTTTTAAAAAATATTTCATGTACAGGTTTCGCTAAATTATTGCTTTATTATAGTACTAGCATTGCCCGCGGCCCCGCCCGCGTTCAGATGACCAAAAACCAAATTCTTAGGCTTTACAATATTAGTATACTCTTACGTTGCAGTTTTTGTATTTTTTCTCAGAAATGAGATATTTTCCCGCGGTAAAAAGTATCATCATAAGTACCAAATTTCATCAAAATCCGTCCAGTATTTTTCTGTGATGCGGTAACAGACAGACAGACAAAAATTCTAAAAACTATAGATTCGGCCTCTGTATCGATAATAATGTCTATTTCAATAAGATTTTCTAAAAAATATTTAATGTACAGATTTGACTTAGAATTTTATTTTATATATAGATATAGATTATGACAACTCTCAGTGAGAAAGAATCATGGCTCTAAAGATCGGTTAGAAACAACACACTTATTAGAAAAGTGCGTAAGTAAACAGTAACAGCTCTAGGTACGCGAATATTTAAAATAACAGTTATAGATTCATTTAATAATTCAAATAAATAAATATTAAATGTCTAGTAATTTGAGCAATCATCTGAAATGTTTAAATTATACCTCCCACAAAGAAATTGCAATATACAATGCATCTGCCTCTAGGCAGTGTAATTTTTAAAGGTATAGTAGGAATTGAAAAAATATTAACAAAAATTTATTTAAAAGTTATTATTTTTGAATAGTATTTTTTTTTAAAGTAAATGGATAATATGAATTCTTTGAAATAAGTTCCTATTTTTTATGCATTGTTGGAGAGCTAAGAAAACGGTTATGTTTTTAAAATAATCTGCGAGCCAAGTTTCTTCAAGTTCTATCATCTCCTAACGGGAATACGTCGAATTACCAACTTTCAGACCTATGCATCTCGATAAAATCACAATAGCTAGGTAGTTGAATTTTATAATATACCTTTATTTTTGCTAACCTTACATAGGAATTAAGTTATAGATATTTCGTCAGTTCTATAAAATGAGTAAGTCTATATTTTTTGATAGAATTTCTTCAGTAGGTACGCGAGTAGGTAATTCTTCTATACTGAAAATCGAAAAAATCGACTTGAAACTTAAAAATTTACAATGACGACATTGAACGAATTACCGCAAACATTTATAGAAACCTTTCTCCGACATGTAACCATGATAAAGTTTATTGGTATAGATATATTTGATAAAACTGAAAATGGTTTTATGAATGAATATGCAAAAACAGTAATTATTTTAGTGTGCACAGCATTTATGTTACTTGGGCAAATTCTTTACGTTGTTAAAAAAGATGAAATTGGAGCTCAGTTTTTAGAAGTCGTTAGTTCTATTCCTGTCATTCTTGGTGTCGGACAAGGTATGTTTAACTAGAATTTTTATCATCAAAATCAATTAAAATTATGAAAAATGAAGTTCTTGAAGGTGTTCATCAAGAAATGTACCAAGGAAAAAAATACTAAATATTAGGCCCAATTTTTAGTGAGAATCTACATAAGAGGATGTCGTTAATATACCTAAATAATCAATAAAAGTGTAGCATTATTTTTACCGAAACAAACGTAAACGGTGGAACCTGACACTTAACTATTCAATTTGTATGAGGATTTTTTAAGAT